ATAAATAATTTTGAGCTTCATTATTTAATTTTAATTTTTACTTATTTAATAAAAATATATGTCGTGGACTATAGTCTTTTATCTTTGTTTTTTAGTGGGGAAAAACCTAAAATTTTATATTGGATTTGAAAAATAAAATATAATTAACTTTTTACACCTACTATAGTCTATTATGTACGGTGCTTAGTGATAAAAAAACCTAAGACTTTGGGATGGTGAAGAAGAAACCTAAAATATTTGTCATTCATTTATAGTTTTTTTAACTCTGTGGCTTACTGACGAAGAAACATGAAATTTGGTGATGGAGAAGAAACAACTTGAATATATTTACATCTAATTTACCATAATTCAATGTGAAAAAGGTAAATATAAATAAGTTTGAGCTTCATTATTTAATTTTAATTTTTACCTATATTATATAAAATATATGTCATGGATTATAGTCTTTTATCTTTCTTTTTTAGTGGGGAAAAACCTAAAATTTTATGTTGGAGTTGAAAAATAAAATAAAATAAACTTTTTACACCTACTATAGTCTATTATGTACGGTGCTTAGTAATAAAGACAATTGGAATCTTTGGGATGCTGAAGAAAAAACCTAAAGTATTGTCATTCATTTGTAGTTTTTTTAACTTTGAGGCTTACTGACGAAGAAACATGAAATTTGGCGATGAAGAAGAAACATATTGAATATATTTACATCTAATTTACCATAATTCAATGTGAAAAAGGTAAATATAAATAAGTTTGAGCTTCATTGTTTAATTTTAATTTTTACCTATATTATATAAAATATATGTCATGGTCTATAGTCTTTTATCTTTGTTTTCTAGTGGGGAAAAACCTAAAATTTTATGTTGGAGTTGAAAAATGAAATATAATAAATTTTTTACACCTACTATAGTCTATTATGTACGGTGCTAAGTGATAAAAAAACCTAAGACTTTGGGATGGTGAAGAAAAAACCTAAAATATTTATCATTCATTTATATTTTTTAACTATGTGGCTTACAGACGAAGAAACATGAAATTTGGTGATGGAGAAGAAACATATTGAATATATTTACATCTAATTTACCATAATTCAACGTGAAAAATGTAAATATATATAAGTTTGAGCTTCTTTATTTAATTTTAATTTTTACCTATATTATATAAAATATATGTCATGGACTATAGTCTTTTATCTTTGTTTTTTAGTGGGGAAAAACCTAAAATTTTATGTTGGAGTTCAAAAATAAAATATAATTAACTTATTACACCTACTATAGTATATTATGTACGGTGCTTAGTGATAAAAAAACCTAAGACTTTGGGATGGTGAAGAAAAAACCTAAAATATTTGTCATTCATTTATAGTTTTTTTTAACTTTGTGGCTTACTGACGAAGAAAAATAAAATTTGATGATGGAGAAGAAACATATTGAATATATTTACATATAACTTTCCATATTTCAATGTGAAAAAGGTAAATATAAATAATTTTGAGCTTCATTATTAATTTTAATTTTTACTTATTTAATTAAAATATATGTCGTGGACTATAGTCTTTTATCTTTGTTTTTTAGTGGGGAAAAACCTAAAATTTTATGTTGGAGTTCAAAAATAAAATATAATTAACTTTCTACATCTACTATAGTCTATTATGTACGGTGCTTAGTGATAAAAAAACCTAAGACTTTGGGATGGTGAAGAAAAAACCTAAAATATTTGTCATTCATTTATAGTTTTTTAACTCTATGGCTTACTGACGAAGAAACACGAAATTTGGTGATGAAGAAGAAACATATTGAATATATTTACATCTAATTTACCATAATTCAATGTGAAAAAGGTAAATATAAATAAGTTTGTGCTTCATTATTTAATTTTAATTTTTACCTATATTATATAAAATATATGTCATGGTCTATAATCTTTTATCTTTGTTTTTTAGTGGGGAAAAACCTAAACTTTTATGTTGGAGTTGAAAAATAAAATATAATTAATTTTTTACACTTACTATAGTCTATTATGTATGGTGCTAAGTGATAAAAAAACCTAAGACTTTGGGATGGTGAAGAAAAAACCTAAAATATATGTCATTCATTTATATTTTTTAACTCTGTGGCTTACTGACGAAGAAACATGAAATTTGATGATGGAGAAGAAACATATTGAATATATTTACATCTAATTTACCATAATTCAATGTGAAAAATGTAAATATAAATAAGTTTGAGCTTCATTATTTAATTTTAATTTTTACCTATATTATATAAAATATATGTCATGGTCTATAGTTTTTTATCTTTGTTTTTTAGTGAGGAAAAACGTAAACTTTTATGTTGGAGTTGAAAAATAAAATATAATTAATTTTTTACACCTACTATAGTCTATTATGTATGGTGCTAAGTGATAAAAAAACCTAAGACTTTGGGATGGTGAAGAAAAAACCTAAAATATATGTCATTCATTTATATTTTTTAACTCTGTAGCTTACTGACGAAGAAACATGAAATTTGGTGATGGAGAAGAAACATATTGAATATATTTACATCTAATTTACCATAATTCAATGTGAAAAATGTAAATATAAATAAGTTTGAGATTCATTATTTAATTTTAATTTTTACCTATATTATATAAAATATATGTCATGAACTATAGTCTTTTATCTTTGTTTTTTAGTGGGGAAAAACCTAAAATTTTATGTTGGAGTTCAAAAATAAAATATAATTAACTTTTTACACCTACTATAGTCTATTATGTACGGTGCTTAGTGATAAAAAAACCTAAGACTTTGGGATGGTGAAGAAAAAACCTAAAATATTTATCATTCATTTATAGTTTTTTAACTCTGTGACTTAGTGACGAAGAAACATAAAATTTGATGATGGAGAAGAAACATATTGAATATATTTATATCTAATTTACCATATTTCAATGTGAAAAAGGTAAATATAAATAATTTTGAGCTTCATTATTTAATTTTAATTTTTACTTATTTAATAAAAATATATGTCGTGGACTATAGTCTTTTATCTTTGTTTTTTAGTGGGAAAAAACCTAAAATTTTATATTGGATTTGAAAAATAAAATATAATTAACTTTTTACACCTACTATAGTCTATTATGTACGGTGCTTAGTGATAAAAAAACCTAAGACTTTGGGATGGTGAAGAAGAAACCTAAAATATTTGTCATTCATTTATAGTTTTTTTAACTCTGTGGCTTACTGACGAAGAAACATGAAATTTGGTGATGGAGAAGAAACAACTTGAATATATTTACATCTAATTTACCATAATTCAATGTGAAAAAGGTAAATATAAATAAGTTTGAGCTTCATTATTTAATTTTAATTTTTACCTATATTATATAAAATATATGTCATGGATTATAGTCTTTTATCTTTCTTTTTTAGTGGGGAAAAACCTAAAATTTTATGTTGGAGTTGAAAAATAAAATAAAATAAACTTTTTACACCTACTATAGTCTATTATGTACGGTGCTTAGTAATAAAGACAATTGGAATCTTTGGGATGCTGAAGAAAAAACCTAAAGTATTGTCATTCATTTGTAGTTTTTTTAACTTTGAGGCTTACTGACGAAGAAACATGAAATTTGGCATTGAAGAAGAAACATATTGAATATATTTACATCTAATTTACCATAATTCAATGTGAAAAAGGTAAATATAAATCAGTTTGAGCTTCATTGTTTAATTTTAATTTTTACCTATATTATATAAAATATATGTCATGGTCTATAGTCTTTTATCTTTGTTTTTTAGTGGGGAAAAACCTAAAATTTTATGTTGGAGTTGAAAAATGAAATATAATTAATTTTTTACACCTACTATAGTCTATTATGTACGGTGCTAAGTGATAAAAAAAACCTAAGACTTTGGGATGGTGAAGAAAAAACCTAAAATATTTGTCCTTCATTTATATTTTTTAACTATGTGGCTTACAGACGAAGAAACATGAAATTTGGTGATGGAGAAGAAACATATTGAATATATTTACATCTAATTTACCATAATTCAACGTGAAAAATGTAAATATATATAAGTTTGAGCTTCTTTATTTAATTTTAATTTTTACCTATATTATATAAAATATATGTCATGGTCTATAGTTTTTTATCTTTGTTTTTTAGTGAGGAAAAACCTAAAATTTTATGTTGGAGTTGAAAAATGAAATATAATTAATTTTTTACACCTACTATAGTCTATTATGTACGGTGCTAAGTGATAAAAAAAACCTAAGACTTTGGGATGGTGAAGAAAAAACCTAAAATATTTGTCCTTCATTTATATTTTTTAACTATGTGGCTTACAGACGAAGAAACAT